TCATTCAAGCGTACGGTAAATCTTTTTATCATTGTTAAAGCATCGCATAAAGCTTAATTTTATGCTACACAATCGAAATGAAATACCAAGTGTTGTGATCGTTTGTTTTCCATATTTATGCAATATAACAGATTATTAGAATCATCATCTCTGAAAAACATGTATGAACATTAGTGAATGTAGCCCTCGTCCTGGCGTTAAACCGAACACTTCTGTTGCGTGTGCTGGAATATTTTCCTTCAGTATTAAACTAATTCACTAGATTAAAGACTACTTTATCGTTACTCTTCAATCATAAACTCAAAATCCTACAAGAGCACATGCAAACTATCGTAGAACAGTATATTCAAGATATAATATAGTTTATACCAAAACTTAATCTCTTCCCTCAGCGGCGAAGTTTATCCTCCTCGACCCCAAAGGTATCTCTCAAAAGCCTCTGATGAGTTTGGAATCGTCATAGAGCACTGGACCATAATGGGAGGGCTGGCAAAATTTTCCACTCCTGTATATCAGATAGATGGTAACTGCTGTCACATTAAGTAGAAATAAGTAATTATTCATAAATAAGTACTTGGTTCGGTAAATTCTTTACTCCGTGACCAAAGGATTTCATTTCAAGATGATTCTATTTGAAAAGCAATTGTTCTGTATTTCATGAAGAATTTATCACTATGTGCTGTAGTATATTAAATTACACAATATACGATGAAATTTGGCATCAAACGAAACTGTTGTGGACAGTCACTTAACTATGGAATAACAGCGTTGAGTCGTCGATGCTTTATCAATATAGGGAATATAGTGGTTTTCCATAGAGTGTGCAAGAAATATCCATAGTAACTTTCAGTACGAATTCTCTCATTTCAGTTGCTGGAAAGTTAAGAAAGGTTTATGCGAACCTGCCATATATAATCAAAGCTTAGCAGATTTCTTCGGAACCATATATATGCTTGTTGTTTTTCACTTTTGTCTTAGCATTCCCCAAATTTTAATAAGGATAGAAACAAACGAAACTTAATAATCCGCGAATAATTTACTATACGGACCCGAATTTTTAGTTTGAGCTAAAAGCAGTCATAACGTTTAACAGTGCACAATTTGAGTCTTGAGAGTGTCTTTGCTCTTCGCAACTACGAATGTTTGCCGAGGTTTGAAAAAGAGACAGAAAAAATTAAAAAAGGAACGTTTGTAAAAGCTGGAATGTCAGTCTTACGCTCTGATGATAGGGCCATTTTTTCATGAGGTTAATAGCGGAGCGCAATCTTCATTTCCAAGCCATTTGCCTGATTTTACAGGTAAAGTCTACAAGAGCTATGTGACGTGGTTTATATGTAGTTTCATGTTTCCTTCCCTCAGAATAGCACATATCTGTCGACCTTACAGAGAAAAAGGCGAATGACCTGACGGGATTCTGACCCCGGGATCTCTTGATTCTCAATCCAATTCTCTACCGACTGAGCAACCCAAATCTGAGGCAATGTGCGTTTTAATTCCTTGCTCAAGGAAATTCGCTGTAATGG